TTAAGCAGAGGTAGAAAACTCCAGCATTTGCCTGAGAGAAGACTTTTTGTCACAGCAAACTGCTGCTGCTGCCAACTGGCTCCCATGGCGTGGCTGGGCCCCGGGATGGAGAGGTGATATTTAACACAGCCTGTTCTTTATGACTGGGGCTGTCCATAGAAACCCCAATGGAGGCAAGTGCAGAAGTAGCCCCACGCATCTGGCTGCACGGCCTGGAGACAGACCTTCCCCAGGGAAATGCTGAGAAGTCAAGGCCGGATGCTCAGACGGTACTGATGAAAGATCAATAGCCACAGACTTTGGGGAGGAGGGGCTGCCGTTCCTTTCCATTCGGGAAGGAGGTAATCTGAAACACTGACCTTTCTCTTAACTGGCTGAAAATTATATTCCTTAAATATAACGTGAAAGTCCTTTGGGAATTTCAGAGCTGTCACAATGGCAAATAAGAAACATGCCCTTGAGAGGAAACCAGAGGGGTGTATCATTTCTAAGATGTTGGGGTGGGGGGTAGCAGTTACGCTGCTCCCCAGAACGCTTTAACAACTGGGCTCAGAATGTATCCGGAAGACACCCCTTTTCTGCTGGACACTGGCTTCTATGAAGAGAGAGGGCCTGAGGTGGGTAAGTCCCTCTTCTGAGGACAAGGGTTTGGGTGTGAGAAGAGGTGGGGTTGTGGGTAGGTTGGGTCATTGAAGGAGGCTGGTGGGAGGGAGAGAGCCTAAGGAGAAGTGGCAGGCTCTCTGGACAGAGGGGTCAGGAGTGAAAATGATCCTGAAGAGACTGGGGCTGGAAGCCCCACTCGACAAGGCCCTTCTAGAGATCACAGGTGGCCAGCAGAGGGACTGCGCTCTAAAAGTGAGATGGGCCAGGAGCTGAGTCAGTCTGAGGTCAGGAGAAACTGCTTAACCCAGGGGCCATCTGTCTGGGGTCAACACCCCAAGGGTTGTTTCAGACCTGGAGGCCAAGCCAAGGTCTTCCAAAATAGCCCTTCCATTTGAATACAGCCAAGTGTTCACTAGACAGGGGGTGAGGGAAGAAAGAAAGGATGCAGGAGGCAGAACCCAGGCTCTGGAGCCAGACTTACTCTGTAACCTTCAGCGAGTTACCTACCCCTCTCTGAGCACCACTCCTTTCATTTGTAAAACAGTCCTACTAGCTACCTTGAAAGGAACCCTGGTGGCTCTGTGGACCAGGCACTGACTGTGCTACTGCCTATAAGGCCGGCAGTTCAACCCCAGTAGCACCTCCATGGGAGAAAGAGGAGGCAGTCTGCTCTCCTAACCCCAAACACACTGCCATCAAGTAGATGCAGTGACTCATGGTCCGGGTGACATTGTGGTCATGTGTTGGGCTGCTAACCGCAAGGTCAGCAATTCGAAGCCACCAGTGGCCGCATGGGAGGAAGAGCCGGCTTCCTACTCTGATTAAGAGTTACAGTCTTGGAAACCCTCAGGGGCAGTTCAACCCTGTCCTAGAGGGTCACTGTGAGTACGAGTCGCTAATGATTGACAGCCTTGGAAACCCTAAGGAGCTGTTCTACTCCACCTTGCCGGTCCTGTGAGTCAGAAGGCCCTCGCTGGCAGTGTATGGGTGGTCGTGCTGGTGGTGAGATTCGTGTCGAAAGCACCCAGTATCTGGAAACTGCAGTTAGCGTCCCTTCAAGTGTTATTGTCCTTTCCCTTCCAGGCCTGTATGTCTAGAGTTGTGCTCTCACAGATGGCCACCCGTTGTAGCCACATGGGGCTCAAGCCCTTTAAAGGAGGCCTGGTGGTGTGACGGGTTAAGTGCTTGCCTGACAGTCAAAAGGTTGGAGCCCACGCAGTGGCTCCATGGGAGAGAGATCGGGCCACCTTCTCTCATGGAGTATAGCCTGGAAAGCTTTCGGGGCAGGTCCACTTCATCACATGGCATCGCTGAGAGTGAAGTGACTCAGTGACACGCAGCCACTGCAGTGGGAATTGAAATGTGCCCCCAAGTGCCCACTATACACCAGATTTCTAAAGACTCTGAACAAGAAGAGGAAAAGAGAGAGAGAGTACTTTCTAAATGACTCTGTGATGAACTAATACTATGTGGCAGTCACCTAATCTGGTGTCAATTTAAGGATTAAGCGTGTAGGGGTGGAGTCTAGGCTATCAATCTGGAGATAGTCAATAGACTTCTGTGTGGGTGTGGCCTTCTCCTGAGAATTCTGGGAAATCTGGTACTTCCTCCTTGGAGGCGGAAGACGCCTTTCTCTCTCTCTCTGCTACTCCCCGGGAGACATCGCAGAAGACAAGCCATATGGACACAACCAGACCTTAGAAGCTGGAGAAGCCACAGAGAGACTCCTGCCAGCACTGAGATGCTTTACAACACCACTGGACCCAGAGACTTTCTACCCACTGGCTTGTGATCGTCCTGCATTTGGTATCATTGAATGTGTTTCGTGAGTCTGAAGAGGACTTTATAGATTGATATCAGACATATGGGCTAATATCGGACTTATGGACTTGATCTGGACTGGGCTGGGATGTTTTCTCAATGTTCAATTGCTCTTGTATATAAACCTCTCCCTTATATACATATGCGTGTTTATGAATTTGTTTCTCTAGTCTATCCAGACTAACACATACTATTTTAGATCTTCTGGGTTACTTTAAATGCATTGTTGAGATAAATGGCAATTAGCTCTCCATATTTGTGTGGTGGTGGATATGCTTTGAGCTGCTAACTATGTGGTCAGCAGTTCAAAACCAGCATCTGCTTCATGGGAGAAAGATGAGGCTTCCTAAGAGTTACAGTCTGGGAAACCCACAGGGGCAGTTCTGTCCTCTCCGATGGGGATGACATGATGTTGAGTTTGAATTGACCTGATGACAGAAAATCTCAAGGGCCAGTGAAGCTTCTCACGTTATTTTTATTGGACAGCTACTGATCTAGCCTTTAAAGGTAGGGCCCGGAAGACATATTCCGGAAGCCCGTTGCCTTCTAGACTTTGTGTGTTTTGGTTTGATCAACCAGGGTTCCCGACTGAAGGGTCCTTTTGAAAATTGCCAACTGAGGCTCCACCGAAATAGGTGGCAGATACCCGCGTGCCTCTAGTGGCCAGGTGGGGTGGTGGCCACAGCTCAGGAAAGGAAGTAGAGATCAGGCACTAGAGACTTCCGGAGGGACAATCAGGGAGATGACGAGGCTGGGCTGTTTCCGCCTCAACCTGTAGATGGCGCTACCATTTTCTACTCGGGTGGACAGTCCCCTCCTCTCTAGTTCCAGAAGGTTCCTTCACCTTATGCCCCCACTTGGGAAACAGGCTCCCACCCGCGAACTGACACAGGTGCACAAGCAAATGCCACTGCAAAGCCATCTTTAGCAAACTCTAGTTTCCAGAGAAACAGAAGCATGGACATTCACAGACATGAGAATGCTCTTCCCCGCCTCCCTCCGGCCCGCCAAGAAGTGTGGTCGGCTGTTGTTTTACAAACTGTATATTTTACTGTCCTTCCCCGCCGCCCCCTTCTCTTTTTCTCTTCCACCAAGGTGGGGATTGGGATGTATATTCTAACCACAGGGACGTTGTTGCAGCAGACACAGGAGCACGTCCATATCCACGTCCCGACAGTGTGGCGAGCTGCCGAGGAGCAAAGTCAGGGAGAGGCTTCATCCCTCTCTTCTCTGCTGTCTGTCTTGTTCCCTCTAGGGTGCCTGGGCCCACGGAGGAGAGAAAGACAAAAATGAAAGAGAGAGAGAGAGAGAGAGAGAGAGAGAGAGAGAGAGAGGGAGAGAAAGGGTGTGTCTGGAGCGGCTTCCTCCGTGGCTATATTTATCAGGATGATTGGGAAAGGTGCAGAGGGAGGGGGGAAAGAAAGACGGAAGGCGGGGAATATTTTCTTGCAAGCTCCCCAATTCTGCAAAATTCACCTGTGGTCTCAGGTTCGAGGCCTTGTCAGGCCCCCAAAGGGTAAAGGCGAGGACAGACAACCGCAGGAAGGAGAAGACAATGAAGGCAGGATAGTGGGAGAGGTGAGGGTGGAAGGGAGGAGCAGCCAGGGGAAGCAGGACGGGGGAGGGAGCAAAGGGCATAGGCATTGGGTTTGCAGGCTCCTGAGCTGGAGCCAAAAGGCAAGCTGTCTGGACAGTGCCCCACCCTTCTCTGAGTGCCCCTGGAGGCCAGCCGTGCGGCTGCCAATACGAGTCCACTGGGACGCGTCCGGGTTCAGCTGTGTCTTTGTAACGTGACAGAGAGGAGGCGACCCACAAGAGCAGATGCTTGAGAAAGGGCAGGAGGGGCTGGGAGGACCGAGGAGGAGGTAGTGCGTTGACAATGAGGTGACGCTGAGAAGAAGGCAGAGCAGGAGATGCCTCCGAAGAAACTTCTCCCAGGACCCCGGGGGCCCTGGCCTGTCTCCAGCCATGGCTTGGGAACTCGGAGACTAATCATCGGTCCCTAATCTGCGTCCCTTCCCCACAATCCCCACCCTCTTATTACCCTGGATGGGGATCCACCTTCAGGGAACCCTGCTCCACGCTGAGCCACCCTTCCCAGAAATCACACAGACCGGCCCTCTCCGGGATGGAAGCAGGGAAACGCATCCCAAATGCTGCCTCCAGGAATAGGTGTCCTGACTTCCTGACCAACTCGTAGGCACGTTCCTTGTGGTCTCTCTCTAAATAAAGGGGACAAGGAGGGAGCATTGAGAATGGGAGGACGGGAAACTGCTCCCAAGCATTGCCACTCTTAGATTCGAAAACAATTCTGTGCTTCCCCCTCCAAAGCCTCTAGAATTCTTGGCTGCCGAACATTGGAGGTTCAAACCCACCAACCGCTCTCTGGGAGAATGATCACAGTCTTCTATCACACAAGACTGCATCCTGTTGCCAGGCCCATTCTGAGCGTAGCAACCCCAGAGGACAGAGTAGAAAGGTCCCGTAGGGTTTCCAGGGCTGCAAGCTTTATAAAAGCCGACTGCCGCATCTTTTCCCCACAGAGCAGCCCATCTGTGGGGGAGCAGCTGAGCGCTTTCTGAAGCACCACTAGGGGTCCTGCATAAATGATTACAACTCTTGGAAACTCTCTAGGACAGTCTTATTCTATCCTCCTCTGGGGTCAGTAGGAGGAGGCTACTCAACTGGCAGTGGTTTGCGTTGAGTCCGGACCAGTCAGAAGGCTAGGAAAATGCTTTTCCACTAGCTTGCCCCCCAGGAAGCCCTGAGCTGGTGACCACAATGTTCAGAATCAAGAGGAAGTTGTTACTTATTGGAAGGGAACTAGAGACCCTCTAGTACAACCTCAGTATTTTCTGAACTGGGAAACAGAGGGCTTAAGAAATGAACCTTACCCAAGTTGTCCATCTGGTTAGTGAGTTGAGGCTCTGAATCCCAACTTCTGAGCTTTGACCACAAATACAGAGCTCTCTCTGTCACCCCCCACAGCTTTTCTTGGCCTAGCGCACCTGTCCATGAAGCCACCCTGTCCCTGCTGCCCATAAGAGGCGAAACTCCATATGCAACTCCAAGCCCTCAGCTCCCTTATCCCTATAGTCCCCACCCCAGGAAGTCTTAGGTCTTCTCCTTCCGGTGAAGCTGATGGGATGACTTAGGGTATGGTTGAGAAGCAAAGGGAACTGAGCCAGGCATCAGGTATGTGGGTGGTTGGGAACCACAAGGGGTCTGGGCAGGGGTGGAACCAGTACCATCCCCGTCCTCTGTGCACTGGTACCCACTGGGAACGGACCTTTCCTATGTGGGGCAAACTCTTGATTACCTGTGTGTGAATGAAGAGGAGTCCAGGAGATGGAAAAAGAAAAACCAAAATAATTATGAAATCAAACAATACTGGGACCATCAGCAATCCGTAGCCACTTGCTCATCAGCTCCATTTGTGGTGGGAAAGGCAGGCGTCTGGCCTTTCCAAACACTCGGGGGTCAGTCCCACATTCCAGCAAGTCCACTTTCCCTGAGTGGTGGGTGGGTGGTGGTGGTGATTAGGGGGGTTTGGGGGGGAGGGACGGGCCAGGGAGGGTGCTGTGGGTGGTATGTGGGCAAAGAGGGTTTTGACAGGGAGAGGAAGCTGTACCTGGATGTAAACATCACCATGGAAACCCCACAAAGACTTGCCAGTAAGGACTCTTTCCCCTTGTCCATCCTAGGAGGATGGGTGAGAGAGTGTCCACCCGGCCCCAGCCCCCAGGCCTACACAGTGCTCTCCATGACCCACTCAGAGCTGCCGAATGTCCCCCTGGCCCCCACCAGGTCACTGTCCTCAAAAGGCAAGAGCATGCCATTGACAGAGAGGCTGCGCTTTGTCCAGATGTTCGAGACCCTCCGAGGGGGGCTGTAGCCACCAGGGGCAACCCCTCCAGCTGCGGCAGCTGCGAAGTCTCCCATGTCAAAGGAGTGGCTGCGTTTGGTCTTGCCCTCCAGGGGCAAGGGGAGCAGACTCCTGGCCCGGGCTGCGGGGGGACCCAGCAGGGGCTCTCGGTCCGAGTGGTGGCCCCTGGCAGCTGTGGCCGACCCGCTCCCGCCTGGAGTCCTGGAGTCCAGCAGCTCCTCCTTTCTCTGGCTCTTGAGGTCCAGGGAGGCAAAGGCCCCCATCAAGCGGTCAAGGTTGGGCTTGGGGCGCGTGGCAGGAGGTGGGAGCCTCCAGGGACCCCGTCCCAGTCCCGTCGGTTCCCCGCTGCCCAGGGAACTGGAGGAAGAGGAGTCGCTGCCCCGGGCCAGGCTGGCACTGAACTCGACCAGCTCACTCCGCACCACCACCTTGGGCGGTCCTGGCAGGGGTCCCCCACCAGGCGCGCTGCCCATGGGGGGTGGCTGGGCCCCGTTTGTCTGCGAGTACACGTTGCTGACGGCGGCGGCTGCCATCTTGCTGGGGGCGTCGTGGTTGCAGACCTTGTAGCGCACCATGAGGATGACGATGAACACCAGCAGCGTGGCCACGATGACGCCCCCGATGACCAGGATCATGGTGCCGCCCAGGAGCTGGCTGTGCATAGACTGGCACTGCGGGTAGTCGGCCTTGGTGAAGAACTGGGCACAGCCCACGATGTTGGTGGCCGTGAGCGTGGTGGCCGTGTCATCCCACATGGCCAGCACGCACAGGTCATAGCCAGTCCCCGACACCAGGTTGTTGACCACGAAGGCCTTGCTGGACGCTGGGATCATCCTGGGGGAGGAGGGGCCGGGGGGAGGGGCGGGCAGAGGCGCGGAGGGTGGGGCCGGATGGGGTGCGGTGGGCAGAGTGATGGGTGGGGGTAGAGAAACAGAGAGGCAGAGGCAGGAAAGACAGAGGGTTGGAGAGAGAGAAACAAAGTCAAGGACAGAGCAGCAGAAAGGGCAGCCCAGGTGAGGAGACACACAGCAGGGGGTGGGGTGGGGAGATTGGAGAAGGAAGGGCCCCCAGGCAGGCCGTAGGAGTAGGGCATCCGATATGGTGACAGAGAGGAGCAGAAGACCCACATACGTGCAGCAGAAAATCAGGGTGGAAAGTACGAGAGATGCCAAAGGCAGAGAGAGGTGTAGAGCCGCAGAGCAAGGTACATTGTGAGCGGATGCGGAAATCAAACCGTTGTCAGAGAGGGAAGGAAAGAGGGGGATTAAAAGCGGGAGGGGGCGAGGTTTAGAGGTGAAGAGGAGGATGGGGAGAGGCTCAAGTGGGAGATGAGAGGCAGGAGGAGACAGGGAGAGGCAGAGGGAGAGGCAGAGGGGAGGGAGAGAGAGAGACAGGTTAAAGCGTGGAGAAGCAGAAATGATACAAAGGGCACACCCCTCCCTCTGTGTCTGCTGCCAATAGTCCCCGGCTGGGCAGTGGGGGCTGGAGTCAGGTAGGCACTGGTCCACCCCTGCCTGGACCCTGTGCGGCTGAGGCCCTTCTCTGGGCCAGGCCTGTGCTGCGTCCCTAACAGGTCTGTCCTGAGGAGCCAGCATGCTCAGGGTCTCCACAAGGCTCCCTCAGGAGGGTGGCCATTTGCTGCCCAGACTAGGGGAAGAGGGGCATGAGCTGGAGCTACACAGAAGAGGACTTGCGGCAAGAGGCGTGCAGGTTGCTTGGTGGTAGGGTGGGGCGGACAGTACAATTTTGAAGACTGGAGAGATATCGCGTATCCCAGAGGGAATGGTTGGGGCGTCCCTGGGTCCTCGCAGGCCAGGATCATTCAGAGAGAGCTGGGGAGAGTTCCCAGGGTGTGGGAGACCCTGATTGGTGTCTATCTCTGCCGTGGGGAAGGGTCAAGTGGAGCAGAGATTGTCTTGGACCTCCAGGCGATGTGGCAGCAACCTTGCTAGCTCCCTAAGGCCTTTTTCCGGGGGGTCCTGGCTTTTGCTGTCTCTAGAGGTGGCATGTGCACCCCCCACAAACACTCCTGCAGAAATAGGAAGCAACTTCAAAAAAAAATCCATTCTCTTCTAACTTCATTTTCTTTCTCCAAAGGTCAACAAAGGAACACGATTTAAAGGTGACTGGATTCTCCCCACCCACTTTGTGAAGCCCCTTACTGAAGCATAATGGTACCACAAGCAGCTCTACAAACATGGAGACCCGACCTCCCTGACTTCACCTCCCAGCAGAGAACATGGTTGTCCTCCCTCACACCCTTCTAGCACTACTCACTCCAGAGGGCTCTGTCCAAGGTGCAGCCTTGCCTATTGGGGCACTCACTTTTTTAAAATTTTAAATCATTTTATTGGGGGCTCGTACAATTCTTATCACAATCCATCCATCCATCCATCCATTGTGTCAATTACAATTGTACCTCTGTTGCCATCATCATTCTCGAAACATTTGCTTTCTACTTGAGCCCTTGGTATCAGCTCCTCATTTCCCCCCCCTCCCTCCCGGCTCCCCCGTCCCTCATGAACCATTAATAATTTGTAAATTATTATTATTTTGTCATATCTTACACTGTCTGACGTCTCCTTTCACCCACTTTTATGTTGTCTGTCCCCCAGGGAGGAGGTTATATGTAGATCTTTGTAATCGGTTCCCCCTTTCCACCCACCCTTCCTCTACCCTCCTGGTATTGCCACTCTCACCACAGATCCTGCAGGGATCATCCGCCCTGGATTCCCTGTGTTTCCAGTTCCTATCTGTACCAGGGTACATCCTCTGGTCTAGCCAGATTTGTAAGGTAGACTTGGGATCATGCTAGTGGGGGAGGAAGTATTTAAGAAGTAGAGGAAAGTTGCTACCCTGCAACCTGACTGGCTCATCTCCTCCCTGTGGGTCTCCACTCTGCACTCATCCTCATTCACAATGATAAGATTTTTTGTTCTTTGATGGCTGATACCTGATCCCTTCGACACCTCGCGGTCACATAGGCTGGTGTGCTTCTTCCATGTGGACTTTGTTGCTTCTGAGCTAGATGGCCACTTGTTTATCTTCAAGCCTTTAAGACCCCAGATGTTATATCTTTTGATGGCCGGGCACCATCAGCTTTCTTCACCACATTTGCTTGTGCACCCATTTGTCTTCAGTGATCATGTCAGGAAGGTAGGGGCACTCACTCTTCAAGGGCTAACTGTGGCTGCCAGGAGATGGCAGCACACAGTCCCAGCTCCTCACAGCAGGGCTCTCCCATGCCTTTTCATTGAACCCTGGACCAGGTGTCCCCTCACCACATTGCTACCATCCCACCCCCACCCCCACCCTCTGTGTCTGCCCACAATCTTAAAAGTGTGCTGAGGTGCAAAAGTCCCTCTGGATCAGTGAAGGGACTTTCAGGAGCACAAAGTACACTCACAGTGCGATAATTGAAGGAGACTTTATTGATAATTGAAGGAGGACTAATTACAAAGAGGCTAGTAGGGCCTAGGGGACCCAAAAGGGAAAAGGCATAACTCAGGGTGACTAGTAGCAGCAGGGAATCCCTGACCATGAACCACAAGGTTTGCTGTTCAAGTCCAAACAGGGACACCTCGGGGAAAAAAAGCTGGGAGATCCACTTCCAAGTCCCAGCCATCGGAAACTCTATAGAGCATAATTCTGCTCTGACCCATGTGGGGGCATCAGAAATCAGAGTCAGTCACTCTGATGGCAACTTGGAGGCACAGCTAGGTCCTAGAACAGCCAGGCAGGTGGCTGGACCCAGGAAGGTGAGAGAACCATTTAGGATCAATGCTGCTCAAAGTCTTTGCCACAGCCGGCTGCTAGCCCGAGATCCAGTTGTCCGTGAGCAGACAGCGCGGTAAGTGTGGTAATTATGAGTAAGCAAGAAAGTTGTTCAGCCAATTGGCTTTCATTGTGACACCCAAGTGTGTGATCATTTTTCTGACAATCAATTTTTATTGTTTTCTTATAACAGCACGGGCCTATGATGGACTGGGAGTCAATCCAACTGCCCCTCCATTATGAAGAGTTCAAGAAACAGTGGTCTAAGCAGTGTTTCTCTACCTCCATGCTATTGATCTTGGCGGGGATCACTGTTTGTAATGGGGGCAGGGCGGTTTCCTGTGCATTGTAGGTTGTTAGCAGCATCTTCGACCTTTTACTCACCGGGTCCCAGATACTGCCAACTGCCTCCAAGGGGGGAAACCAAACACTCACCCTGCCACCTTCCCACCCCCATCGGAGAAGCACAGCACGGGACGTGAGAATTTGGCTGAACACCAAGCCAAAAACCCACCTCTCGGCCGAGTTAAGGCTGATTCACAGTGTCCCTGTGTGGGGTTCTGAGGCTGCAACTGTTTACGGAGTAGAAAGCCCAGTCTTTCTCCTGCGGAGCTGTTGGTGGTTTCGAACTGCCGGCCACTCAGATCGCAGCCCGGCACGTAACTACGACGCCACCAGAGCTCCTTGGTTGAACACAGAGAGGAGCACTCGCCGATAGGAGTCAGAGCATGCGCATCCTCACCTTGCTCTTTCCCCTCCATCAGTCTTTGTTGCTTTTCTCACGACTGAACCTGACCAAATGCCAGTGCTCATGGGAACACGCTGCCCAGCCTTCCAGGGCCCAGAGCTGGATGCAAGAAGCGGGAGGGAGGAAACCCGAAGATCAGAAAGCCTCATCTTCTTGGGACACCCGTCCATCCTAGCCGCACTGGGAAAGACCTCCCCGGACCCCTGATAGATGGCTTCCCAGCATCTCAACTAGCATCAACTGCGTGAGCAGCGGACACGGATTGCTATTTTAAGTTAAGCCACTTCGCGTGAGAAATTTAATTAAAACCACGTGCTCCAAGACCCTCATTAAAACCGCATCCCCAAGCAATTACCCAGGAAAAACAAAGTCAGTGGAAGGGGCCACCTCAGAGCTTGGGTTTTATTTCCCTGCTAATATGTGTTTGGCATTTGTTCACTCGGTCAAACACTCACAAGCAGCTGACGTCTACACAGCTGATAGCAGAGGCTGACGAAGAAGGCACAGAGATGCAATGTCATTTCGCTGTCCTCCTTTCTTCTGCCCCAGGGGTACGGTGGGAAGAGGTCCCCTGGGCCAGGCCCCTGGGCCCTTGGGTTTTCAGGCAGAGCTGGCCAAGGAGGCGCTGGGGAAAGACTGGAAGGAGGGGCAAGGCCAAGGCATTCTTCTTTGTGCCCTACAAGTCCTGGCTCCCTGTCCGCATTTGGGTCTCCCCATGGATTCCAGCACTTCCAGGGACGTCCCCACGGGAGTTCTAGCTCCATGCGGACAGCCCTGAACCCGAGCCTCTGGTCCCTCTTGCTCCTTCAGCCTGTTGTAAGGGGGTGGACGGGGGTGGGAGGCAGCAGCTCCAGATGTTGCATTGACTGCTGGCTGACCCCTAGCCATTCCA